GCCTAACAGTCTATGAAAGGGGGCAAAGGTCAGTGTGATGATGGGTGTGATTGTGACTCTGACCACCTCCAAGAATTATAGTGCAGGTGGTTTGTGTATCAGCAATACTCCTGTGCATTTTAACTTGTCATCAAATTGGTACCCTTTAACAAACCCAGACTGACGGACAGGCATTAGAATGGTTAAGGATGTTGTTATTCTCCTGAGTAAGGTACTTAACCTGATTTGCTCCAATGAAACACCTACCTGAAGAAATGGGCAAAAAATAAATAAATAGCTGTAGGTTGCCATCGATAGAAGCATCATCGTGCACACAAAACAGCGGCGTAGACAGCGGCAACGTGAACGGCACCTTCCCTCGGACCAAAGAAATCGACGTGGGACCTGCATCTCAGTTGCAGGGCACTGGATCACAAAGGTGAGAACGTGTCACGCCTTCAGGATTAGTCGAAACATAAATCATCGCCAGAAGCAATAAGCATCACTGCATAGTGACGTTAAGCAGCCCCACCCTCGCGGACTGGGGGGCTTGCTGGGTAGATGGAGGCCTCGGACAGCCCACAGGAAGATGGGAATATACACGTGGGGAGAATGTTGCGTGATGGCAGAGCTTCATACCGTTATAGCCTTTCCCAATTGCTAAACGGACGCTAAGGTTCAGGGTACGAGGACGACAGAAGAGTGTCACGAACTGAAGTCACCCCCGAAATGGCGAGCGGCACGTTTCCAACCTCACCTTGTACCCCCCCAGCCACCGGCCTCTCAGGATGACGGCTCAGGATCCGGTTGGATTTGTTTTGCACCATTTATTTAGTGTGTCACATCTCCAATTAACTGCAGGAGTCGGCGCCACTCTCCCCGTAACGCCCCCCCCCCCACCCTCCCTGATGAATTCTGTCAACTCATTAGCAGAGCCACACCACCATTTCACCTCTCCGCCACAACGCCAATGTCACTTCCTCTCCGGTTATTAGTGGCTTCCTGGAAGCAGCCCGTGAACTTTTGGGTTTCGAAACAGGTTCAGGTGGAAAAAGAGGCAGAAAGAAAAGAAAAGAAAATCTAGACCTATAATTATCGTCACCTTGTTTATACCATCGGCAGACTAAATGAACGTCTCTTCCTCCCTGAAAAGCCGGATCTCTTCAGATCTCTCATCCAGTTCTGCTACCTTGTCCCACCTTCAGGTCAAAACAGATAGTGGGGTTCTTTATGGCAGGTGCAGTGCTCATCAGGCACGGCGGGAGACAGTGGCACCGTGATACAACTGTAGTTTCTGACATTAATTTGTATCGGCGCTACACGGCCGGCCAGGAGCTCACATCTCCGTGCCGGTACAGCGCAATATGGCCACCGACAGCTTGAGCGCCAAGCCGTTCAGGGACCACTGCTCCCCCTTAATTTCAGCTCTGCGTCCGGATCGAACCCCGTGCCAAGCGGCCAGGGCTACGGCAGGAGCAGAGCGGGGTCCCTCTCCTGCCACCGCCCCCCAGACGCCACGGGAGGTGCGACTGTCTGGCCCGCTCCCATCTGCGCTGCGCGGGCACAGCTGAAGCCGGCAGCTGGGGAGGGGGATGTCGCCGGGCACCCCCCCACCAGCACCCGCCAACCGGAGCGGCTCGGGGGGGCCCCAGTGGCAGCTGGGCGGGGTGGAAGGGCAGCTGCGGAGCAGCAGGTCTGCGGTGGCGGGAAATGCCGCGAGACGGACCGCGCCGCGCGGGCTAAACTCCCCCGCCCCCCCCCGTGCTGCCCCGTGCCACAGACACATTCCAGTCACGTGGCCCCGCCTGCACATCTGGCACACCATCTGTATGCCGCTCCTGTAAGTGGCAGGTTTGTTTTTCGGGGGGGGCACGTGTTAAAAAAGAAAGTGGGGAGTGATCAGGACACAGTTAAATTGGAATATCAAGCGCGTTGGTGCACGGGCCGCGGATACGGAACAATGCAGATGGATAACGAAGGCCGAGCTCATCCCAGTGACATTTTGGAGTTTAGGCGTCTGGCCGAGATCATTCTGAGCGTCACAAGAATATGTGTGGGGGAGGGCGGGATGTCAAACAATTCATCCCTCACAAAAACAAGCATCATGTAAAGAAGACCTGAACAGAGAGGTGTCCAGTCGCAACACAGATATCCACAGATGTCGCAAAAGAAAGAAAAATTCCATCATGTCTTCCATGGTCTCGTGGCTCAACTGGCGTTGGCACACACAGAACACTCTAGATAAGCTGCAGGCTGGACCAAAACACACAGTAGTTTAGGAAGCATCTTATTCTATCGGTGGTGCTTCTAAGTCATTTGCGTGACTCTGTGGCTCCATGGCATCCCACCCAGAACATGAGCTGCCTCATTCCCTGTGCTTCCCGGGCTCCAAACTCACCCCGATCTGACACCGGATAGATGGTTATGGGCCATGACCCTCTCCAGGAAAAGCGGAGCAAGAACGAATGGATGGGAGGATGCATTTCTCTCCAGGTTTTGATTCAATTAAAGCAATTGTTTCCCTGCAGTTTCACATGAACCAACCCACGTCACAACCCACCTCCCTCACCATACTGCATACAGTCTCTACATTTGGTAAAAGGTCTTGGATCGAGCAGAAATCGAGGGTTACAGCGAGCGACGATGCGGAGTGGATAACAACTGCGGTGATGTTGAGTGAGAGCTCCGCCTTTATTAGGGTTTCGACCAGCTGCCCTTGATCACAGGAGAATAAGCAAACTGCGCTACGGCTGCTATTGATCGGGACGTGGCGACATCATCACATCGCTCTGCACGTGTGTCACAGATGGGAGGCCACCGCCACCCCCTTCATTACTGCCGAGCTCGATGCACGTGCTGTTTCTCTGTTTTCAGGGGTGTTTTCTTCGTAGCCACGCACAGTGCTGGCCGCACGGGGCCTGGTGCTGTGACGGGGAAGGTCAAAGGTCGTGCAGCCCCGTTCCCTTTAAGTGTGCGGTGTTGCGAGCTAAAGCGGCAATTAGTGACAGACTGCAGATATGCACAGATGGGTTACCGGCAAGCCCCTCTTCGGTGGGGGGGGGGGCGCCCTGCATCTCACGGGGGGAGGTTTCATGCTACTCTTTGTTATGTGCATGTGCTACCTCACAACATTAATTCCAAAAACTCAGGTCGAAATCCTGAATTACACACAAAACAAGGCAAAAGCTCTAAAGGGGAAGGGCCAGTGTTAATGCTGCATGGATTAATGAGCCAGGCTGAGGAGAATGCCTTCATCCATATCTTAGCATAGGATCATTTATAATCTATATTAATATACAGCACGAGACTAAAATGACTCCACATAATGTTGTAAAGATCAAAGAAAATAGGGGTTTAAAACAAACGAATTATGAGCAAAAACCTGATTAAAAGTTAGAGGAAAAAAAGTTACATTTGGACAGCTTTCGGAGGGAGAAAGTCAAAAGGGTGACTTGAGATAAGACAGCCTGACACTGATACGCTGCAAACTGCCTAATGTTGCAATACCACAACTGTCCAGATGGTGGCATTCGGAATCACATGACAGTGGAAAAATCCCTAATGTAGGTGCTTCTACCAAACTAACTTAAGAGACTAACCTGATAAGAAAAATCACAATAATTTATTTGATTTTTTCTGATAAAATCCAGTGACATACAGCTTTCACATCATTATGCAAAAACACAGTTCCATGGCACTTGAGAGGACTAGTGGATAAAATAGATATGATTTTTATTTAAACACTGTACAGCGGAACCATATTCTGCCATTTTGAAAATAAACAGAGGGTGAATATCATGGCGCGTGAGTTAGGGTTACACCTCATGGCAGGACGGCAGCAGCCACCGTTAACTTCCATCTGAGGCCTGCTTAGTGGACGGAGAAGTCATTCGGCCAGCTTCAGGTTGAACCACCATAAGCTGCACATCATACACTAACCTGCTAATATGTCAGTGTCGGGTGTTGGGCTGGCATTTCTGAAGCTGCCGCTGCAGAGTTCTTCATTGCCAGGAGAGTTACACGCCTGCCGGTAGCTTATTCGAGGTTAAATGATTCAAAGTATTATCCTTAACCAACGGTTCCTTGTAGAAGGAAGTTGGAGGCCCTAGATATCTCCGACAGAGTGAAACATGCTTAGATTATGGGGTGGGGCAGCTCTGGAAAATGCCCCCGGAAAACGTGTTTGACATTAACATGACCCTGGAATCACCGTTTGGTTTAGATGTGGGTGTTTGGGGCATCAGTATCTAACACTGCTAAGTCATCTGGTCAAACATGGGGTTCATCAATTGTGAAGCACGATATATATACATCCATAATAAAATCACATATATTGATGGCTTTCTAGTACACCAGGGATGGACATCCTACGTGCCACGGTGTTTATAGTTTTTTTTTTTTGTCAAAGATATAGTCTTAATAAAAATAATTAAAAAAAAAAACACGTTACAGCACAAGTAACGTCACAGCTCGTGAAAAGCAAAGAGGAAATAAGAGGAACATCCCATTCGATATACAACTTTAGCTCTAGGTAAAGGCGCGTTGAGGATGTCTGTGTGATGGGTACGCTGATCTCTGCAGGGCTGGTGGCTTCCAGCACATGGTTTTATACAAGTATAATTCAAACACCTCTCTCCATATCTACAGCTCCTTTACAGAAAAACCCACAATGTTACTAAGGGTTAGTCAGAGGTTACTCCCCCACAACAGCAAAGTGTAAAAAATGAAAGTAGAATGATTCCCCTAATGTAACATAATGCGGCTTTGGCTGCACTGCAGCGCAGCCAATCAGCTGTACTGTATGGGACACACCCACGTGTACACAAACATTCTCCGAGCGTGACGGGACACAGCGCGTCCTTCACTAAGCTGGGGTGTGACCCTGAGCGACTTCGACCCACGGTGCAACTCGATTCCCATCAGCCTGTGAGTGGCGGCGTGGAAATGCCCAGATTTGAAGAGTATGAGACCTTAATGTGGGGGGGTGGCAGGTGTGAAGTATGAAAACCCATCTCTTAATGACGGACTCTAAAGCAGTCACACAACAGCAGCCATTACAGAAACTGCAGAGAAAAAGGGCAAAATAGGCATCCTGATAGCAGGCGTGGCTCCAGCGCTGAGGGCAAATGTTGCTTTGTGGGGGGTGGGGCGGCTTCAGCGCCTCACTGCTGGTAGTTCCCATACTGACCCTGCGAGGAGGCACACAAGGGGAGGGAAATGAGCTTCACCCTCCAACTGCAAGGAAAATCTCTGCAGGAAATGACGGTTGTTCACAAATTACGATGCGGAAAGGATTCATCCTGAATGGCATGTGGATGCTGTGAATGCGCATTGAGCCGGCTTCAATCACAGTCACGCAGCGGTCGATGGTGTGGAACACCAGTAGATGGCAGTATGGCTCTACATAAGACAGTTAAACATGACAAATGGGAGGTGGAAGATTTATAAGGCGTCTGATGACAGTTGGGAGGACGGGTACAAAAAAATAAATAAATAAATATCTGGGTTTCTGACTGGCAAACTTACTGTTCACAACGCAATTTTCTAAAATACTTGGAGACTTCAGTCTTTTATATGCACATTTCTAAACGGGTCAAAAGTGGCTTATTTCCTAGGGTATTCAGGTGGATTCAAATGCTACAAAAGAACCACAATTCAGAGGAATTACAGGACAGCAACATTTGAAATGTAATCTCCTCTCTTACTCTACTGTCATGAACAGTTCATTAAACACATAAAAAATATCTCCATCCAAAAATATACATCAGAGTGTCCTATAAAGAAAAATGATTTTGAAAATTCATCCACTAAACTTCCTCCACTATTTCCTCCAGATTACAACACAACACGTCATAAGAGAGAGCAAATTGAACTGTACAAACTGAAAAGCAGGAGCCTGTATCACAAAATGGGATTTGTTGGTTAGCTGGATAACATGTCAGATTTAAGGTACTTTATCTTCATTCACTCAAATTTAGCCCAGACTACCTTAAATCCGACAAGTTAACCAGGTAAGCAAGAAATCCGACTTTGTGATATAGACCCCAGGTAACAGATTTATATTCAACATATACTACCGATTTATCATGTTACAGATATGTCAGTGGTTGGGGAGAATGGAACATTTTTTGGAAGACCTGGAAGATCTGGTGACCAGCTGGCCTCCTACGCACACACACATATCACACAGGTTAGGATGCAGAACGGTACAAAGCTGGACACTCAGATAAAGGCAGCAAACCTTATTCCTAATAGCACAAGTGGGTAAAATGTAAACAACATCAGCTGTGCAGGTGAGGCACTGGCTAAAGGCTAGTGAGGTCCTAACCCTACAAAGCATTCACAGCAAACCCTGCTGCCCGTCTCCCGTCTTACCTGGTCGTAGCCATAGGGGCGCTGCTGCTGCGCTGGCGGAGGCCCCGGCTGGGGGGGGCGATACCCTGCGTACTGCTGGCCCTGCCCCTGGGAGTAGCCGGGGTACTGTCCTGGAGCTCCTTGAGAGGGCCCTACAGGGGTGACATCACAGGGGAAACTCTCAATGAGCTGCTGTTAATAGGTCCAACTGCGACAATGTGACCCGACATCTAGGGCTCACAGAACCTCTATCCATCACATCAGTCAAACGGTTCCATCATTAGGTAGAGTAGGTAGCGGATGGTAACAGAGGAGAACGTAGTGGGCAATGTGGAGCTCAGCAGGTTAGCCCTCTGTGCCTGTGATTGGAAGGTCACCGGTTCATCTCTGTTGGCCCTTTAACCCCCCAAAAATGCTCCAGGGTGCTGAATGAATGGCTGACCCTGAGCTCAGAGCCTTTCCTGGAAGCTACAGGCACAAGGCAGGGAATAACCCAGGATGGGATGCCAACCCATTGTGGAACATGGGATATGCAAATGTTAAAATATTTCTAAAAAAATTCTAATGTACATTATATGGACAAAAGTAATGGGACACACTTCAAATCACTGAATTCAGGTACCACTGTATCAGGTGCATAAAATCAAGCACCTAGTCATCCTGTCAGGTTTACAAACAGTAAGTTCTGAAGAGCTCAGTGAATTCAAGTGTGGTACTATTATAGGATGCCACCTTTGCAATAAGTCAGTTTGTGAAAAATCTTCCCTGCTAAACAGTCCATGGTCTACTGTACGTGGTATTATTGCAAAGTGGAAGCTTTTAGGGACAACAGAAACTCCACTTTAAAGTAACAGAGCGAGGTCACAGAGTGCTGAGATGCATAGTGCATAAATGTCACCAACACTCTGTTGACTCAGTTCCAAACTTTCTCTGTCATTAACCCCAGCACTAAAACTGTGTACCGGAAGCTTCATGGAATGGGCTCCCATGGCTAAAAAGCTGTATGCAAGCCGCACATCACCAAGCACAATGCCATGCGTCGGATGGAGTGATATAAAGCACGCTGCCACTGGACTCTGGAGCAGTGGAAACGTTTTCTGTGGAGTGACAAATCACACTTCTCTGACAGTCTGATGGACGAGTCTGGGTTTGGCACATGCCGGGAGAATGTTACCTTCCTGACTGCATTGCGCCCACTGTAAAGTTTGGTGGAGGAGGGATAATGGTATGGGGTTGTTTTTCAGTGGTTGGGTTAGGCCCCTTAGTTCCAGTGAATGGAACTGTTAATGCTTCAGCATACCAAGACATTTTGGACAATTTATGTTTCCAGCTTTGTGGGAACAGATCGTGGAAGCCCCTTTTAAGTTCCAGCATGACTGTGCACCAGTGAACAAAGCAAGGTCTATAAGGACATGTTTTGGGGAGTTTGGTGTGGAAGAACTGACTGACCCGCACAGAGCCCTGATCTTAACGGATGTTGCCAGCCAGGCCTTCAAATCTAACATCAGTGGCTTGACCTCACGAATGCTCTTCTGGATAAATGGGTAAAATTTCCCACAGACACACAATCTTGAGGAAAGGCTTCCCAGAAGTGTCGGCTGTCATAGCTGCAAAGGGGGGGCCAACTCCATAGCGATGCCTATGGATTTAGAATGGGGTGTTATAAAAGTTCCTGTAAGTGAAAAAGCCAGGTGTCCCAATACTTTTTGTCCATATATTGTACCTGTTCTTGTACTCATGGCAAGTAAAACAAAAATAAAAATGCTGGACATGTGTGTTAGTGGGGGGAGGGAAGCTGACAGTATTAAAAACACCCCAAATGAGTCTTGGTCAGCCTGAGTGCACTGGCCAATTGTCTAACCATCGCTACCATGTTTCTCAGGTAGCTTAGTAGCAGAGCAGGGCCTCGATCGCTGCAGTTAAGCAGGAGATTAGCTGCTTGCTGAATTAAGCCCCCATCCCATGCTATAGGGTCATAGTTCACCTAGCCAAGCTTTTGTTAAAAATGATTTAACTAAAAACTTCTGTTAATGTAACAGAAAAATAACCATTCAACTCTTCCCTTGTGTATGACAAACTACAGGCACATAACACAAAATGACAGGTTTCATCAAAATTCGCTTCAGGACCGAAGGCCCCCAATCCCCCCCGGTCCAGCAAAAACACAAAATTTATTTCTGGCCATGGGCCTGATAAGTTGCAAAAACAAGGTCACTCACAACATACATGAATACTACAGAGAACCTTTGGACATGCCGGGTAAGTTTCTACGTAAGCAGGGAACGAATTAATCATGACAAATGGGCTCCGTCTGAAGACGGCTACTGAGCAGAACCTTTCGGTGATAAGGGAAGAACTCAACAGCTAACAGCTGTCTGGGACAAGGCCTCCAAAACAAAGGAAAACAGACCAACGTGCCAGAGTGATGACGTCAACAGAGAGGCAAGGACTCTCCTACTACACACTTCTGTGACTGGAAGTTATATGGTTGAGCTGTTACCCACCGTATCCCTGCTGTTGCCCAGGGTAACCTTGTTGCCCCGGGTACTGCTGCTGCTGCTGCTGTTGCTGTGCTGGGTAGCCCTGCTGCTGGGGTGGGCCTTGCTGGTAGGCCTCCTGCGGCTGCCCGTACTGAGAGTTGCCTGCAGGGGGGCGACACGCAAAAGGGTGAACTCTGGAACTTTTTGCCTATTAATCGCAGCCAAGAGGAAGACGGCACAACGCCTATTCTAAAGAAGACAAGAAGCAGAAGAACGTGACAGAAACAGAAAAAGACAGAGGCACAAGTGCAGACCAAGACAGGAAATGTGCTGCCTCGTGTGGCAGGATGCCTGAGGTGCAGGACGGTTACAGGTCCCTGCGGAACAAGCATTACGGCCACTGGAACGTGACATTCACGGAGGAGGGAATGCCGGAAATCACACACAGCAGGAAATTAAAAAAAAAAAGAAAAGAAAAACAGCAAGATGTCACAGAGCAGCTATGCAACAAGCAGCCCAATACTCCTTTGCACTGAACACACAAAGTGGCTGAGATTGTGAGGGAGGGGGTTAACTGTAATAAGTGTTTATCTGTTACAAGGTTTAGATAAATTTAAGCTTAGTTATTCTTTCCTGGAGAGTTAGACAGATTAAATTTTTTACTGCTAGTGCGGGAAAAAGTTGCGGCAATTTTCCTCATCAGAGTGTGTAATTAGTACATTACTGCAAGGGTGAAGGACATTAATGAGAAGTCCGAAAGGTGGCCATGTGTGTTGGTTTGGTGTCCTGCCTCTCGTGGTGTATGCGTTTGCATGAAGGTATATAGATACCTCCGTCGTAGTAATGTTGTGAGGGCTCCTCGTAAGGCTTATCGTAGCCCTGTTCAGGATACGACGGTTGCTGAAAACCGTAATCATTATGACCTACATCGATTTGACAGGAAGATAAGGAGAAACGTTAATGCTCCCAGCTGAACAAAAAAACAAAAAAGTTTGAAATGTAAATGAAAAAAAAATACTTGTGAAAAGGAAAAGAATAAATCAATGCATACATTAACATTAGCACTGTTCAGAGGTACTGAAACAAAGAAGCTAGCAAACAAGCTTGATCTCATTCCAAATGCAGTAATAACAAAATTAAGCAAAAAATTTTTCCTCTTATACCATTTGATGATTGGATGATTGAATGAAGCCAGAATGAAAGAGTAAAATTAAAGAACTATGTTCTAGACCCAGCATAGGTTAGGCTTGAACCCAGGACCGGCTCTGCTTTTTGAGGGAGTTTAGGTAGATCTTAACTTGGGAAGCCCCCCCCAAACAAGAAAACCGATGATCATTTCATTTCCTCCTCAAGGGACGTTCAGGGGCCCTAGACAGCTGCCTACTCTGCCTATAGCTAGAGCTGGCCATGCTTGAACCCCGATCTGTGCTGATAACCGGGAAGCAGTGCACTGCGTTACGTCCAAACGGCTACATGCTACAAGAACCAAAGGACCAAGCGGAAACGCATCTTTCTGGTCACCTCTGAAGAGAACACGGGTACATCAGAGATGTAAACATTCAAACTGAAGTGATCTGTCATATTTCCTGCTGTACAGTTAATGCATTTTAATGCTAAAACTTAACACTACCACCAGTGACAGTGCCGGTTTAGTAACAGTACTGAAATATAGCATGACACCCCCAGTATAGTGGTATACTGTGATAATAATGGTACATATTTTAAAGCATCTGAATATGTCGTAGTGATGCATTTAGCAGCTTAGTTGCTAATGGTAACACCAAACCAATGCATCAACGTATCATGAAGATACAGCCCAAGGATGACCGTGGCCACCTGCACTCAGCTTCCGAGCAGGTGACCATCCGGATCGGGCCACAGAAGCCCACCTTCGGGGGTTCCTTGTCCTCCGTGACTGTACTGCTCTCCGTAGTAGTCCTCCTGGCTTGCGTACTGCTGGGGGGGTCCTGCAAGGGGGAACATGGACATACGCACACACACATTCATGTGGGGGTCCGTCAGCAAGCGACTCCAGCCTGATCGCACCTCTGGTATCGATGCCACAGCCTAATCTACCCTTTGGACACACTGAAAAACAGAAGCGTGATTCCCGACATGCCGGACGAAGGACCTTACAGCAGTTACATGGCGAGACAGGCAGGCCTTTAAAGCGCAGAACTGGGTCACTGCTCAGCAAGGTGAAAGGGAGGATGGAAAAAAGCCCGTGTCACAGGAAGTGGGGAGCAGAGGACTGAAGATGCATGACAAGCAAGGGACCGCAGCCAGGGGCGACTCTAGGATTTATTTTTTAAGGTGAGTGATAGGGGCACAGTAGGGGTGTTATTGCAGATTCAGGGGGCCAGGAAATTTACAGTGGCACTTGAATATATAAAATTTATATATAAGGGAGATGGAGGGGAGGTGCAATGTGACATTTTAAAAGCCGGATCAGAAATTTCAGCTACACCCTTGGTTGGGGGGTGGGGGTGCGGCCTAAGAGGGGCCTAAGTCATACGGAGGGGCCAACGCTATTATTAGCCAATGATATGTTACGAATCGGTGAATGACAAGGGAGGGGGCACTCTGTGGGCCAATCAGCTTTCAGCTGGGGCCAGTGGCCCTGTGGCCCCGCCCCCTTCTGCAGACTCGGGGGGGGCTATGGAACTGTAAATTACAGATTGGTGTGAAGGTGCCGCACAGCCCCTGGGGAGGCGGCGACAAGATGGAGCAGGCTTGGCTCACCTTGCTGAGGAGGCCGGTAGGGCAGCATGGGTCTCTGCCCCATGACGTGGTTGCCCTGGCCCACCTGCCCCATCATGGCCATGGGGTTCTGCTGGCCCTGGTAATGCGCAGCTCCACCTGGGGCCATGTTGTACTGCTGGGAGGGCGGCTGCTGGTGCATCATGGGACCTACGGGCATGGAGGGGGCGTGAGTGGGCACAAAAACACCGAAAGTGTGAGCCACTTCTCATTTTCGTTTTTTATAATAATAATTTTGGTAACACTTTAGTTTGAAGGGGAAGTTCACCTGAAGACTAAAAAAAAATATGTTTTAGAGGGACTTTAGTTCTATCTACCCATCTAGATTGTTCTGCTGGAAGTTGCATAGTTTTGGCGACATCGGTCGCAGAAACGTCGGGCTTCTCTCGAGTGTAACTGGAGTGAACGGCATTTTCTCTGTGTTGATTAAAGCGCCATAAAAATACATTTGAAAAATCCAACAGCAATGAGTTTTACCAGAAATCGTGACCTGGTTACTCAAGATAATCCACACACTTTGTAGGGAGCAGTTCAGTTTAACGTATGAACTGTTTTCTTAAACCGAACTCCACACACCAATCATATCATTGCACAGATGATAGGAGCACGAGCACCCCGTCGGTATCTTCTGCGCAGGGATATGACGGGTGTGGTTTATAACCGGGTCAAGATTTCAGGTAAGACACATTTTTGGAAAAAAAAAATTTGTTGCCATTCACTCCCATTACATTCGAGAGAAGCCCGACATTTCTACGGCCAATATCTCCAAAACTACATGACCTCCAGCAGAACAACCTAGATGGATAGACAGCACTAAAGGTCCCTCTAAAACATTCCTTTCAGTCTATGGGTGAACTGCCCTTTTAAAGTCTGCTCCTTTATTATCAAACTCTTACTAATCATCTGTTAATATATTTAGTGAGTAAAAAGATTCACTTACGATCAAATTTTGATATGCATTACAAAGATGACTTACTCCTGCCTCACAAAGTATTCCCTAAGGAATTTGTTAAAGCACAATTATAACTCATTTCTGAGTATGCCTACTATGCCATTGTTTTATATTTGCAAGACCTTTACAGGCCGTTTTGTGAATAACAGGAGCAAAATATGATTGTCACATATTTCTAAATTTGTTTCTGAAGGTATCTTTCCATCTATTAGTATAATAATGATTAACAAATGATTAACGAGTTTTTTAATAGCTAATGAGTTGATAAACTAAAGGGTTACCTAGTTTTTATATACAAAACAATATATTAATTTCCTAACATTCACTGCACTATTTAATAACTCACCTTAACTATATATTAAATATAACAAATCATTTACACACTTCTAAGTCAAACCATGAACAGAAACAGAAACCTTGGTTGGGCTGCATGCTGATGTTGGGCCTGGGGCCATAACCTCCCATGGGCTGGCCCTGGGTCATGCTCATCTGGCCCTGTGCCGAGGCCCCCGCTGTGTGGCTGTATCCCCCCATGGACCCGTGGCTGCTGGGGGGAACGGCCATAGAGCTGCCAGGCAAGCTGGGAGCCTGGCCGGGCCCAGGGCCCTGAATAGGTATGTGGGTGGTTCCTAAGAGACAGGACAACAGAGGTGTTGTTGAAGCCTTCACCCCCCCACCCCCCACCCCGTGGTCAAATAGCAACAGGCGCTTCAGGCTGACGTTTTTCATGAAGCGGTCGATTCACAGACTGGGAAGAAAAGACCGTTAAAAGCGATCCACGCGTGAGCACTGTTACGCGGAATAGAGGACAGGCACGCAAGCGGTGGAGAGGCTGCTCCCACTCGAGGTAGATTCAGGAAACCGCAGACCGGCGATGGGGCCCCCTGAGGGCTTAGTGCAAACACTACAGGAGCAACAGAGGAGGCAGCACCTTGCATCACACCTCCCTCAGCCTCACTGTTTCATTTTTGATTCCCCAGCCTGCGTCTGTGACAGCCTGCTTCTAGAGTTAGCGTCTCGTGTCACTTCAAAGCCTCGCCATTGTCGTGGGGACCTCTGTCAGTGTTTCAGACAGGCCTAAAACTAAGCGGCGGCAGCTCATTAAATCAATCCCTTTAATCAAATGCAACAAACAGGAACACATTAAAGGGAGTGTGCGCGGGGCATGGGGAACCAGTGGGTCACAAAGTGGGTATTTGATGAGCGGCACTCAACGTGGGGCCATGTGATGCAATGAGTCCTCCGCACCTTTAGGGGGCACCATGCTTGCCAGGAGCAAATGGTGTGCTTCACCCCTTTGACTAATGAGGAAAAAATATAACTAGATAAGAAAGTAAGCTAGGCTCACAGTCTGATTAAGGGTCATCCCCTACTTTAAGAGACCCAATGGGCATAGTATTTAAGGACCACAGGTCAGGCAAGGGAAGGTAATATAGTGGTAAAAGATGCTTGGTGCCCTAAAAACACTATATAAAAGGGTAAAATTCACAAGCAGATAGCAGCATCAGTGTAGCAGGTAAAAGTTACATAAATGGACATCCATGCAAAATGTAACTCACGCCCTTAAACGGCAATGGACGTCTAATTTCCCACGGCACCATCGAGCACAAGTCAACCTTATGGCATATAGATAAATAATCAATAGACTCCATGGCAGCTGTGCTGGGGTGCTGTGTAAAGAACAGACCGAGTGCTTCCTGTCTCAGATACTTCCCCTTTCCGTGACACCATCAGCAGCTGCCTGCGGGCCCCATGCCTCTCGCGGTTGCCATGGCACTTGCGGATATTTTTGGGCAGCAGGGGGGTGGGGGAGACGGGGGAGCACTTGTTATCTTAAGGACACATCGTGTCCCGGATGGGCTGTTTAGCAAATCCCAGCATGGAGAGCCAGGGCGAGGACCAGTTTGAGCCAGTTTAGGCCGCTGCGGAAGTCTAGCTTCTGAGCAGACGCGCAGGTACGGGCACGCTGGCGTGGACACGTGCAGAGAAGGGGAGGGAGAAATGGGAACGTCTCCATCACCAGAGCAGAGGGGGCAGCAGCCATGTCATTAAGAACGTAGCCTCCCTCGGGGACTCGTGATGTGGCCGTGTTGCTAGGCGACCCCAGCGAGATTAAAGGGGAAGCGGGCGGGAGTGAATGAGGTGGTACTTACCAGACATCTGTCCGTTCATCTGGTTCTGCATGTGGGTGGCGGGGGGGCCCTCAGCCGGCATGCCGTGGCCATGAGAGGGGTGGGGGGGGCCACTCTGAGTCATCCCACCCGGCCCCATGGGCATGTTCTGTGTGGGTGGCTACAGATGAGAGGGGTGGTGGTAGTGGGGGGGGGGGGGGGGGGGGGGGGGGGGGGGGGGGGGGGGGGGGGGGGGGGGGGGGACAGATTGAAAAAGAAAAAGAGAGACACAAGGAATTAGAGACATCACAGAGATAATGGTGTGCTCTAAAAAACAAAACAAATGACAAACAGGAAAGCAAGACAGTAATAGAAGGTAGAAAATGGGGATTATAAGCAGATGATACAGGTTAAAAAGGCACCACACAGGATAAAAAGACCCCAGTGGATCTGGGGGTCAGAACATGTAGAGCGACATCTGGCAGGATGGGGTAGGTAATGACTGAGTGGGGGCCTGAAAATCCCCCCATTAAATGAAACGTATTGTCATGTTCTCGGGAGAAGATAACCAAATATATTATTACCTAAAAAAAAACACGAAGCCGGGGATGAAATTCATCCAAGGCTGGAGGAATTGCTGCACCTCCTTATCAAGCACCAGCAGAAAGACCAGGAGCCCTTTGGTCAGGAAAGAGCCAGCATCATTCATAAAACGAGGACTTGGCAGGATGGAGAGGCCCGGCCCTAAGCACGCCTTCTATCTTTACAAGAAGCTGGCGGGGGGGGTAGACCCACCGTGCCCAACCAGTAATTAAATAACGGCGCCGTGGCGATCAAAGTGCCAGTGAAGGGGGGGCTTGTCCGTCTTCTTCTGCTTCCCCTGGCTAAAGCCCCCCCATCTCATGACATGGAGCAGGACAAAGAGTCCCAGCAGTACATCTCACACGACACCCCTGGATAAATTAAACTTGATTCTCCAGGAACCTGACTTTTTTTTATTTTTTTTTTTTATAAATGTCTATTCAGTTTCAGAGGGAAAAAAATTAAACCTCAGACTGAGCGGCCCTGAAATGCCGCCCCCCCTCCAAATTACAAATGACTTAGCTGGGAAATTGAGGCTTAAGGTCACATATTTGCATTCAATATATGTGTCTTGGAAATATTTTCTTCAGAAGGTGGCATTGAGCCTACAGTTGCTACTCAAAGTACAAATGATGTAAACCTAATTCAGAAAGTTATTAACGTAGCTAGAAAGCATTCAGGTAAAACAAACACTGAATGAAATCATAAATGAGCTCTTTCATATGGTACTCCGTCTCCTTGCTTAATGATGATGCATGCAACCAGTAACAATGCGTATCAAAATACATGCTTTTGCTTAGAATATCTAAATATACCTTTTCCGCTGATAAAAACAATTCATCTTCATATAATGCAAGCATTTTTCTTCTTATACTTTAACCAAAAACCACCCTTTGTTTCTTAAAAATCAGAATAAGGCTTGCTACAATTGTATCGCTACACTTCATGGACATCAATCATCTACAAATTTATAAGGATCTGAATTCACATTATCATATATTTATATGGTTTTCTTTGACTGTAACCCTCTCTGACAAGCACATCCCACCCATCAGATCACATCTAGTACATTACACAATGGGACCATCATTAGCCATTTTTCCCCACTTATTTTTCGGTCATTAAAACGACTCATGATGTCTATCTGCTGAAACGTGTCTGTTAGATGAGATATGTCACGTAACCATGGTAACACCGACGGCAGCATGACTCAAACATTAGCTACTGATTTGCAGAAACACCTGGGTAATAATCTACGTCGGCATGAAAATTCCTACAGTTGCCGATACAAGGGCCACTACTGCATGCTTCTCAGATTCCTGTGATTTTTTCACTTCTTTTTCTAGACCAAAGTCACTTTTAATCTCATCAAATGAGAAACATATGGCTCATACTGTGATAGACAATCAGCCGGAGCTGAAGCCCCCCCGCAGTGAAGAGCTGCTCGGCAGATAGGCTGACTCACTGACCAAACACTGACCCCAAACAAACGATTACTAGCCAGCCAACACCGAAGCAAGTCCACCTCACAACCATCGAGGGCCAGACCCACACAAGAAGAGCAGCAGCTACACGCCTTTTTAATGATACCCACTGAACTTGGGAGTACCTGCATGAGGTCCACACATACATAGGGTTCTCCGGTAATGGGTTACAGCCCCCAGCAATTACATCCCGGTTCTAGTTTCAGTCTCCCACTAATTAGTATGTGTGCGCACTCAGTGCTTGTACTGGCTTGGCGACTGACATTTCATTGAACAGAAATAGACCGTGACAACTCATGATTTTCATTAAGATATCATTCCTGAACTCCATTTACAGCCTGACAGAAATACAGAAACATAATAAAATTTTAAAATAATAATAATAAAATAAAAAACAAAGCAAAAATTGGAGTAGGACCTGCTTGCACCCAGGGTGTAGCTAGAAATTAGGGCCCCCTGACAAAATTTCACCTTTCCCTGCCCCCCCCCAGTTTTACATATAATTTTATGAAGGTCTGCCATTCGTCTTGCTCGTGCCCAGGGACAAGATGATTTTCCATTTTGTCAGTCAAAAAAAAATTACAAATTGTAGTAACGTCAAACCTGCAGTTGATGGTGATCATCCTTTATCTAGTATTTTAGTTAATGTATGAATCTCAAGAATTACCAGATATCAGCACAAATTCAACAAGGCAGGCATACTCGATCCATACTCCTTACAGAATCATCTTTCGTACCTCTGCAGCATTGCAGCATGGGCGACATCCCTGACCTGAAGTATTATGACATCATCAGCTAGCTAGTTCACGTCAAGGCTCGACCCAGGCATAAGCAGTTGGAAGCTTATAAAAGTTTAGATACGTACAAGAATTTTCTGGCTGGTCATGTACACAGGATTGGTGTATGGGAAATTCCCGTAAAAGATTGGTTCCTAATTATTTCAAAGGTGAGAGTTTTATCCTAATCAAATTAATGCTGCAATGTCTAATGACAAAGGCATTGTGTAAAGCAATTGTGTGTAAATCAATTTTGATATCAGCCTTGGGCTGGGCTATATGGTCAAGCATCACGATTTTTCCCCCCATATCAAATGATTAATTATCATTAATTAAGGTAATTATCACAATATAATTCAAGTCATTATTTTCTTTGCTTCAATGCTCCATTTTCCTTAAAATTCCCTTTGAATTGCCCCTAAACAGGTTCAGAACATGAAAAAAGTGACAAATTGAATCGACCGCAAACTGAAATTTAATTTTAATAAATAAATCATACAAAAAAAAAAACATACATAAATCATACAATCATACACCAATTCTCCCATCTGACCACCGTAATCCACTTACTGCATCTTTCTGGGTCTGCTGGAAATCTATGAATTTTTAAACCAGGTTTATGACCTCTCTGACGTCTCAGGCATGTTTAACAAAAATTTGCTCAAAAACGAAATACGTTACTACTGTTTTTTTGGCATTGTAAGGCACTGCTTTTGGAAAGATGAGTTCCTGACCAGCACTAAAAGAGCAGACCTAACCATTTTTGACAAAGTAGCAAGATAAAAAATAAGCTTTTATGTGATTTACAAATACCATATTAATTTTTCACATGTGAATTTTTGACATTATTCCTGCAAATTATTTAAAGGTCAGTGAGCCCTTTTCGGCCCATTAGAACCAGGGTCTGGGGACTACTGATCTAGTCCATCCACTACAATACCATACAATGAGGAAAATATGCATCTGTCAGTATGTGACAGCAATGTATCCTCCCACACTTTCACCTCATAAGATAAGATTCTGTGGTCAATGAATATTGTGAATTTCATTCTACAATCGAATTGTAAAAAGAAAACAGACATTTGACTGTGGGGAAAAATGCATTACAGCGGCTGTCTGCCTTGCAAGTTCTCACGTGGGCCTGTGCTGTTGCACTGAGTGCACTGCCTGATGGACAACAGTCACAACATCACAACTTCACTTAGTTTGACTGAAATGAGCAAATCTATGGTGAGCTGTTTTAGCTTTAATTAATTTCTATTAATTAAATTCAGTTTTAACTAGTTAGAATGCAAATTCTTGATATCAGAAATGCAATTGTAACTAGTTATAATGCCAATTCTTGATATTGGAAATTCTATTTTAGATAATGAGATTCAAAGCGTTTTTCTCATCCATTTCAATGATGGTTGGAATTTGAACTATTTAAAATGCCAATTCTTGATATCAAGAACTCAACTGTAACTACTTATAATTAAACCTGAATAATAACCATAGTTATAATTGAAATCCTGAAATTATAAATTGGCATTTTAACTAGTTCAGTATTTATTTTGCAATGTGTGGGTATGCAGATCTTTTAAAAAACATGTTTATGTTGAAATAAATATAGACATATGAATAGATATGTCTCTAGTTGTATTGGTTTGTTCGATTATGGACATAATGTGCAAAGATACTCTAATGGTCGCACTTATGTGTTTGTTTAGAAGGAGCAATCGAACACCATTTTTGAGAGCACCACAGACAACCAGTTAAAAACACTGAATAAACTGGGGGCTGTGGGAAGCTAAGTAACGTCTGCAGTCATCATGTTATGGAAGCCAGCAAACAAAGGCAGAAAGGCCAAGGTGAGCACCCCCATCACTCACGGCAGGAAGCAGAGACTGCATGTTCTGATTGGAGTCTGCTATAGTAGCCAGGTACACCAAGTTCCTGTGGAGCATCTGCTGGTACCTGTTAACCAGAGAAACGCAAATTGCAGACATACATTTGGAAAACTATATAACCTCATGAAGAGAACGCATAACATGCATACAAATGGAAGCAATTTCAACAAAATTCCTTTGTTTGAAACATAGACAAAACACAGATAACTCAGTTCGTCAAATGGTACTCGGTTAACTTTACTACTGACTTCATATTAAAATCGAATTAATCGCGGATTTGCCAAAGCAGTACTACTAACAATGACAACGATAGTAGTAAACTTACTGTGAGCATTCCGCTGTTTTTCCTTTACTCTGATATTCCATAATGCATTGTATTAAATGGTTGTTCTCGTCTAACAGCTGGAGGAGAAGAAATCTCGTTTATCTGGAAGGAACTGGTCATCAAAACATGAGTCCTTATGATTCTAACTCGCACAGAGAACCAGCACTTTACACTCAACCCCAGGAATCGAAGGCAGTGGTTTTGCTAAAAGAAAATACTAAAACATTGTGATTGAACTTACTGAAAGACAAACATCCTCGTTTACTTTGAAACAAGAGATTCGTAGGGGCTTTCAGTTATACAAAGTTATACAACTCGAGGATTTATTTTTCATTACTTTGTTTATAAACATAACAGGCGGACACACGACGGGGTAAAGATATATTAAATGCTCAGTACACAATGATGACCTGAAAAATATATAAAACATGAATAAAACAACATTTGTCAAAATATCATATAAATATCACATCAAAGTATAAGCAAATAAAACTGCCTGTCGCGATTAACTTTTTCAAACTTTTTCCATTAGGTTCTTATATGAAGACAATAAATATGCAGTTTACATAAATATTGCCATAAGCAGTCAAGCCTACAATAATCGGTAATAATTAGCATTTGGTCTGCCCTATCCGGGCATCAATTTACACAACAAAGGCAAATGAACTGAGCGCCTGTTTGTACAACTAGGCCTTTATTCCTCACTAGTTACACATTAAATAACTAAAAAATTAGTAGGAAGTATAAAGGGGTTTATGATCATAAAGGTGACAAGAGTTTCCTGTTTCCCCGCTGGGCAGCAGCTCCAATGCAGCGGAATTAACGCGGTTGGGATTTTATGTTTAGCGCCATGGCGACACTGTAGCCAGTTCGCCCGGGTCGTTACAGCTGCGCGTTAGCATGCGAGCTAACGGCTGCGCTCCGCTCAAAAGCTCGTTACCTTCTGTATCGCCGCGGGTGTTATGTCACCCTTCCCTCGCTGTCTGTGAGCCGCGAAAGCGACCGACATTACGCCTTCTCCCGAGCAAGTTAAAAAAAAAGAAAAACAGACCTACAAGACACGAAAAAAATATTGCACAAATTTAGCTTAGCGACAGCTGAAAGCACAGAACAGATTGCAGGCTACAATGTAACAGTCCACGCGAGGGGCGTTCGCGACAAAACTGAAAGGAACATTATGAATTATTCGGTAATCCGGTTATCGTAGAAGAAGTGCTTCTTTTGGGTTGCTTGACGAGTTGCAGAGCTAAAAATAAATAAAGAAAAAGAAACTGAGGAAACTGGTGAGTGCGTGAAGTACTGGCATGACACCCTCATAAGAAAGGACACTCGCACATCCCCACTGACAGATGCTTCGCCCGTGAACTTAAGTGGCAGCCAGCTTCGCCAGTACCACGGGGGCGCTGGAGTCAGCGTGACGCCGCCGGGGGTGCTTGAGACCTCCGACATTTATCATGCAACAAAGTCCACGAAATTCAGAAGCTGCTTTGTAATTTAAATATTAAGAATTGTTCCCAACATGGACTTTATTATGGCGTTTTTTTTTGTTTTTTTTTTAAGACAACGTCCCCGATGTCTGCATAACTGACGGGCTCATATCATTGTCATTTGTACTTCGGACAATCACAGTCAGCTCCGGACAAAAGTCCGAAATGAACAAGTAATTAAAATGCACTTCGTCAATTGCTGGTAGAAACCCAAAAATAGTTTGCAAGTTTTGCTGCTTATAGCATTGTGGTTTTGTGTATTGTATGCTAAAAAAAGAACCTGAAAGCGAATATATTATTAATGTGTTGTGACGTTTCAACATCGGGATGAACAAAATGTGCAGGTTTAAACTTGAAAAGGTGTATTTAAGACTTATATTACCCCCATGTGTAGGATAATTTGGTATCGTCCACGGAGGGTCACAGTTCGTGCGCATGCGTAGTAAACGTAAACGAGATCTTGCAAGCGGCTTGTACTGGGTGTGAGGCGGTTTATCTAGACTAAAGTGAATACATACACATACGTTTTAGGATGGCTTCTAGATATGATAGGGCTATCACGGTTTTTTCGCCGGATGGCCATCTTTTCCAGGTGGAATATGCACAGGAAGCCGTGAAGAAGGGCTCCACCGCGGTATGTTTCCCATTTTTTTCTGTGGAAGTCGACAGGGTAGCTGTACTCACTGGCCTATGAACTAGTTAGCTGGCTATCATTTGACAAACCCCAAGTTATGTACACTAGAATATGGACAGTCGGTGCGCGTATATTACTTCAACCGATTATAATTCATGAAGCAACTCAATCATGCAAATTATGAAAGCCTGGGTAGCTTCTCAGAAGGTATGACTTGCATATAGTAGCTAACAAAAGATCCATTACTCGTCACTGCTGTACTGCGCAGTCGCTTAGCCAGTCTAATAGGCCAGCTGTAGGTTGGGGTTCCTATTAAACTGCCTTTGTACCATGTTTGGATGATTATTTCTGATACTGTCTTATACATAGGTTCGATCGTGCAGTTACTACTTCATAGATCTTTGAACATGATTTCTACACGTTGTAACGATTTACTTGTTCGCTTTACAGTAATTATCAATCTATCTTAAAGTAGTGTCTGAACTTTCAACTTACCAAAAATTCAAAACCATCTTTATTTCCAGCTCATAATCTACTGTGTCTTACTCTGCTGAGTGTATTTGGTTGTTTAAATTTCCCTTAATCTGGACTTAAAATATTTTTTTCTTTATTAGGTGGGAATTAGAGGGAAAGATATTGTTGTTCTCGGAGTTGAGAAGAAATCTGTTGCAAAGCTGCAAGAGGAGAGAACAGTCCGGAAGATCTGTGCACTGGATGAACACGTTTGCATGGCATTTGCTGGTAAGTAGTCCTGCACGGACTATACATTCATTAATCCCCCTTGCAGTCACTTGATGACAATTGCAGTATTAATATTTTTTAAGCACCTTCTAATTGCTAAAATATCAGGGATTCTAGCTGTAACTGTTTGGTTGGGTGCTAACGTTTCAATCGAATTATTCAGGATTGACAGCGGATGCTCGCATTGTGATAAACCGGGCAAGAGTGGAGTGCCAGAGTCACAGGCTGACAGTGGAGGATCCTGTTACAGTGGAGTACATTACACGTTACATTGCTACTCTCAAACAGGTAATCTGCTTGCTGTGGTCACACATCATTTATGTGTAATAGGCATGTGTACATAAATGTATAACTCTACTAGCCTGGAATTAATGCTAGCACATGTAAAAACACTGCCCCTCCATCCCCAAAGCGCTACACGCAGAGCAATGGCCGGAGACCATTTGGAATTTCGGCCTTGATCGTGGGTTTTGACTACGACGGAACACCACGGCTGTACCAGACCGACCCTTCTGGAACATACCATGCATGGAAGGTAAGTAAGGATTCCCCCTCATCTGTTTAGTATTGGTGTCAAAAGTGTTAACTGGTAATTGGATGTGTGTGATGCAACATAGCAGATATGTTCACCTAAGCTTGCTATTTTATATTTGTGCTCGGGTGGATTGGTGAGTAATGAATTGTTAGATTAGTGCTTAATGAAAATGAATGCTTGTTTTCCCTCTGTAATTTGACACTGTGTTATTGGAACGTTACATTTGACACCTTCCCAGAAAGCATTGGGCCCCAAGTTCTAAACCTTGACATCTTAGATGGCTTGATATCGGTGCTGCAAGCAGTAACCTAAAAACTGATTGCTTGATCCACTTGTCTGTTGCTCATCAGGCAAATGCAATCGGCCGCAGTGCCAAGACCGTTAGGGAGTTTCTGGAGAAAAACTATACCGAAGAAGCCATTGGGACTGACAACGACGCCATAAAGCTTGCGATCAAAGCTTTGCTTGAGGTAAGGGATCCTTCAGGTGTAACCTAAGCAGACCCAGAGTAGCACTGCTGGCATGTTTTTGTTTGACTTTGGCTTGTGGCACGTCTGCAGGTTGTACAGTCTGGTGGGAAAAACATTGAATTGGCAGTGATCAGGAGGAATCAGCCTTTGAAGGTAATAATGACCAGTCTTCACATTCCAAGTGTTTTAAGATGCTGGTAAACATGGAGCAAGCATTTCACAACCCTCCTCCCCCTTTGACCTCTTAGATTTTGGAGTCTAAAGAAATAGAAACTCTGGTGGCTGAGATAGAGAAGGAGAAGGAGGAAGAGGCTGAGAAAAAGAAGCAGAAGAAAGCCACATAAACTGCCCATGGTCATCACGAGTGACTGAGCACTTGGTGTGAGCTCTACATGACACTCAGCATTTACAGTGTTTGGATTTCCACTGATAAGCTGTACATTGACTTTGGAAGGCTGCATGCTTTTCCGTTACGCTGCAGATGCACTGGAGAATTTCCATGTACTGCAGAGATTTCCGTTTACATGTCACACTTCTTAATAAAGTCTCTATTTGTAA